TTTAAGTCCGAAAATAAAATAATATATTTTATTATGTATATAAAATAAAAAGATATTTTCTATGAAATTTCGGACTATTAAGTTTTTGAGATCGAAGTTGTTTAAACTTTAATCGACATTTATGAGTATGTGTGTATAATGTTAAATGGGTAAATTAATAATTAATTAATTACTAGTTAATTTAAAATTCATATTATGTATGGGTTAGTAGCTACCAAAGTGGCCTAACCATAATGGTCGATGAATATTAATTTTAGTAGTAAATATAACTTAATGATGAATTAATTACTGTCTAATTTAATATTCATATTATGTGAAGATTGGTAGCTACTAAAGTGGCCCAATCATAATGATTGATGAATATTAATTTTTGTAATAGACATAATTAATCATAAATTAGTTATTATCTAATTTAATATTCATATTATGTAAAGGTTGGTAGCTATCAAAGTGGCCTAACCATAATAGTTGATGAATATTAATTTTAGTAGTAAACATAATTGTAATATTTCATGAATTATGATGCTTATAATTTTTTGTGATATTCATAAATATTGATTTTATTTAATTATGAGAAATAATTCCTCAAAGGGAATTGATTTTCAAGTGATTAAATAAAATTAAAGGGTCGTATGTATTTTTTTTTTAATTAGGTAAATATAGGATATCCAAACGTAACTTATTTGTTTAATTAAATAATGCATCACTAATAAAGGTATACATATAAATACATATAAGCATCATTATTAGTATTTTATAGTTGCCACCCAAAGGGGTACTATAGTTATACATTGTATTTATATTTTTAAGTTATACATACGTGTTGTTAACTCAAAGCATTATTGTTGTTAAGATTTTATCTTATTATATTTGTTTTATTACATCCCTTAATGCGCATGCTACATCTGTTCTGATTCTTAATATGACTAACTTCTCATAATGAAATGAGTAAGTTGAGTTCAAAATTTAAATGTGTTAAATCTTAATTTAACATTTTAAATTGAGAAACTTACTGTTATTACTGATAAAAAACAGTGAGGAAGAAAAGATTCTCCATAAAGCTTGGGAGAGATCGAACAGATTAAGCATTATGGTTATGCGAATAATTGTTCCTCATAGTGATAGTGCTAAGGAATATTTGATTATAAGAATGTTTTCGTGTTGTAGATAAATATCTAAAATGAAAATTATTAATTGATATAACTACTATGGATTTTTTGTTGTACTCGTACCATGTATGATCGTATTTTTAGATGATTAATGTTGCTGCAAAATTGAGAACCTTATGGATGATTGTTATTGGGAATTTTCTTATTCAATTTATTCTCAATTTCTTGTCTATTCAGTATGGGTCATTTTGAATTAACACTATTAAGACAAGTGGAAAGTGATTTAATTGACCATTATGTTAATTTATAAGGAGACAAAACTTAAATAGCAAGGTAATCATTATGTTCATCTGACGACTCAAGAAGTTAGAAAGAAATTTGGGAATAAGTCAAAAAAGGCAATAAGTGAGCAACACCCAAAATTAAAAGATTTAGGTCAATCTACTAAAAGAAAGTAATGTAATAATGAAAAAGTATCATTAATGTATTGAACACTTTTAGAAATATTACATAATATATAAAGAATGATTCGAAAAAGAAAAGTACGCTTTTGGCTTTTGTATATTGCGAATTATTTATTGAAATTCTTTTTAATACATGATAGGTTGACTTAAGTACTAATATTTATGTTTCTATTATATGCAAGAATTTTTTATAGCCTAAACCACAAATTCAAATAAGAATTTCTTATTTATGATAATTGGGAAAATGTTTTGTTGAAACCATTGTGACACTGTGTTTAATGTTAAACAATGGATTTTATTTAAATTGTTTTAAAATTTTTATATTTATTCAATTTCCCATAATTTGATTTTATTTCAAAAACTTTATGTTAATGGTTTTTCATTTAAATTTGGTAATGATATTTATTTAAGAAATTATAATTTGTGAGTTATGGTATTATTGTTGATGATTTCTGTAAATTCAAATTTGATGGTTTATTTATTAAAATCCTTTTGATCTTGTATCATAATGTTAGAATTAAGCGTAGCTCAATTAATAGAAAATTTATCTTTGGCATAAAAGACAAGGTTAATATATAGTAAAAGGTTAGGAAAATTAGTAAATGATGTGATTCTTCTGAATCTAAACTTTACTGATTTTAATGTGTGTGTAGATTGTATTAAGGGTAGACAAACTAAACGCACAAAGAAATGAGCCACAATAAGTACATAACTTCTTGAAATTATTTGTAGACCTTTTCATGTTCCATCTTTTGGAGGAGAAAAGTATTTTATCGCCTTTATAGTTGATTTTTCACGTTATGGATATATCTATTTGTTGTATGAAAAACCTCAAGCAGTGGTTACCCTTGAAGCATACATAAATGAGGTTGAAAAATAACTAGATAGAAAGTGAAAATCATAAGGTCATATAGAGGTGGTGAATATTATGTAAAGTATGATGAAACAAGTTAATACTCTAACCGTTTGTTAAACTCCTTGAAATGTATACCATTTATGTTCAATACACTTTGCTATACATGCCACAGCAGAAGCATGTAGCTGTAAGGTGTAATCGTACTCTTATGGAATTGGTTAGGAGTATGTTAAGTAATTCCTCGTTACCCATAATGTTGTCAATATTAAGTAATCTAAATGGTACAAGTTTTACTATCCGAAACATAGTACGATAATTATTGAAACCGATAATGTCAGATTCATTAAGAATGATAAAATCAGTGGGAGTGATAAAAATAAGAATTTGATCATTTCAGAAGTTAGGGTACAAATATCTTTACTCATAACTTATAAGGAAATAATTGTTCCTTCAGTTGTTGAAATGTATAACAGCGAAGAACAATTAAATAATCAACAACTCTATAATGAGATTGTCACCAATGAATAGATTGTAGAAGAATCATAAGGAATAACATTAAGACGATCTCAAAGAGAAAGGAGATCTGCTATTCCGGATGACTATGTGATATATCTGCAAGAATCTGTTTTTGATATATAGTGAGATATATACGGATCCGGTTACATATTCACAAGCCATTAACAGTAATAATTTTACTAAATGGATTAGTGTCGTGAATGAAGAGATTATAAAGAAATCTTCTCTCTAATATTTAAGAAGGAATCTTTTAAAATATCATGGCATTAGTAGCTTATTATGATTTAGAGCTACATCAAATGGATGTAAATACAATTTTTATGAATAGGAGTTTATAAGAGGAAGTCCATATGGAACAACTTGAAGACTTCATATTAGAGGGTAAAGAATTCATGATCCGTAAACTTAAGATGTCAATATATGGATTTAAACAAGCTTCCTAACAATGGTATATTAAGTTTAATGATACCATTATTTCTTTTGGTTTTAAGAAAAATACTGTTGATCAGTGTATATACTAGAAGGTTAGTGGGAGTAAGTTTATATTTATGATTCTATATATTGATAATATTTTATTTGTTAGTTGTTATCTTAGTTTATTATATGAAACTAAAAGTTATCTCTAAGAACTTTGAAATGAAATATATGGATGATGCATCCTATGTGACAGGAATAGAAATATTTCATTATAGATCACATTGATTTGTTTTTAGAATTGTCTCATAAAGCATATATTAAAAGAGTTCTAGAAGATTTGATTGGAGGAACAATATTATGAAAAAGTGCAAAATTACTTTGTTTGTTATGAAATTTTAATTTGTAGCATGCTTTGAGACTATAATTTATGGTTGCAGAATTTATTTCAGGACTTGGAATTATGGGTACCGTTTTCAGATTGCTAAAAATTTATGCTGCAATTGTTGATCTTCTTGTATGAAAAATGATAGGTATTCTAAAGTTGAAATACTTTATCATTAAAGAAGATATTTGGAAACAACAAATGTCTATTGAAATTATAAGCACACAACTTATGATTGCAATCCATTAATGAATGGATTACCATCCAAGACATTTATGGAACATGTTGAAAGAATGGGTCTTAAATGTAGTCAATGATGTTTATTTTTTAATTGTGGATTGCTTAAATAGTGCTTATATATATTTGACATTTTGCGCTGATTAAATGTGTTTCTGATATTTCCTATTAATTAATGTACATGTACGTATTACTTTAATAAGTGGTAATAGGAATAGTCTTGGAAAAGACATTATTGTTAGATCATTATTGACACTTCTCATTTATAAACTATGTTGAATAGATTACTAGTGTTGTGGTACATGGAAGTGACTATGTCATTTAAGGATATATAACCGCCATAACTCGCATTGGTAATTTATTTATCATGGTATTTATGATGACCAATTTAATGAGTTAATCTGATTTATGGTGCACATTAATGACTATTTTACTAAACCACTACAGAAATTATCATATGTGCCAAGTGGGAGAATGTAAGATTATTTATTTAATTGTGGCCCACATGATTTGGACATGTGACATATTACTTGGTGGGTAAGTAAATAAATATCAATTAATATTATTTATTTTTGGTCAACTTATAATTACCTTTATTGGTAATTACTTATTGGAGAAGTGTTTTCCTTTCTTATTCCTTACTTTGATCGAAAGTAGAATTATGTTACTATAAGGAAAACTGGTCCTCTCTCTGCCTTTATAAAAGTGCATATACTCCATCAATTATGTACAATTAATGAAACAACACGTAAAAGTTTTATGTGTGCAAAAAGCCAAGAGAGAGAAACCAGTTTCCATCTTTGCCTGTTGATCATAGTTGCAGATTAGTTCGTGGCCAAAGGATCTGGACGTTGGACTTAATCTCAACAAGAATTGATATCGTGAATCGAGGTATTTATATCTAACTAGTATTTATTTATGCATTATAGATATATGAAAATCATGAAGTTCTAAGATATGTGATTCATGTAAATTTGTGATTAATGGCTTAACACGAATTATTATAGTTTACAAAACCAACCATGAAATTAGAAGAGTTCCTTAAAAACCCTGTTGGTAGTTTTTTACGGAACATGGGGGTGGAAATATATGGACTCGAAGAAGAAACTCCAAGATATGAGTTACAATGGGACAACATGCCATATCCTGCTTGCCTTAAAGGGTATTTGTCTTCTCCTTTCCTCCTTCCTCTGCTAACATTTCTTTTATTGTTTTTCTTGCTCCTGTGGAGTGTAGATAGATTAGTGCACGCATTATTTTACACACTCACGCATCTCTGCATGCATATATACACGATTAATAACACTTTGATACTAATGCACAGTACATAGCATCTTTATTTATAATTTTATATACACACTCAGTTACACACGTACGCACGCATACATACACCTACACAGTCATATATTTACTTATTTACTTATATTGATTATGAGTCATACATGCCATATATGAAAAGTGTTTTTGGCTGTATTAGGCCTAACTAAGGTAAACCTAGTTGAAATTCCAAGTGTTGCGAACCTATTGGTCCTTGGATGCTTTGAAGATGACCTAAAGGATACGTGGGCTGATGTGAACCTAGGTCTAGCTATGGTAGACTTAGTTGTCATGTAAGGATGTGTATGTCTAAACCTTAAGGGCTTAAAGTTACGTCACATGGATAGATTTAGATGAGTTTGAGAATGTACCTAGGTTCTTAGAGGAACTAGGAGTTCAACTTGATTGACTTAAGTTATGGGAAACTAAAAGGCATAGCTTATGTGATACCCCAGATTTTTTATTTAGGCTATGAATCTTGACTAACATCATGCCTTATTTATTTATGGAGACTTTGTTAATTTAATTGATGTTTTGATGATTTAAGAATTAGTTTTGGAGCCTTGTGATTTTATTTGGGTGTTGTAAGTCATTCAATGAAAACGTGGGGGTTTTTATGTGATTAGAGTTTTTAAATGACAGGGATTTGGAATTTTCCAAAGTTGGGATGGTGGATGCTAGGTGGCATAGGCTTCGACATGTGGCATCCTCACATGACCTTCATCACCCATGCTACCTTATATAAACCTGCATTTTGTGTCTCACACTTTGTATATTCACACAAACAGTACCAGTTGTGGGTTTAGAGAGAAGAAGAGAAGGAGAGATGAAGGGTTCCTAGCCGTGAGTCTAGAGAGAGAGAGAGAGAGAGAGAGGAGCAAGGAAAAGGACCAAGGGAAGGAGTAGAGAGGGATTTCGCTGAAACCATCTTCTCATGTTCTTCATCATCATCATGCTTCTTAAAGGTAGGGTTTCATTAACATCCAGTGCTTTGGGTGGATATTTCCTAAAACCAGTATATGCTGGTATTATGTGCTTATGTGAGTAATGAATTTATGTGATTATACGAGTATGCATCAGTTCTTGTCCATACCTCCATGTTGGATCATGCTTGTGCTAAACTGATGATGCATATAAATGTCCTAAAAGAATTGTGATGATTTGGGGTGAATCTTATATGCTTTTTTCATGAAAAGAATGGATATTTTGATGCCTGAAACATGAAGTACAATCTAGGGACTGAAATTGGGGAAAACAGGGCTGGACTTTACTGGGGAATTTGCTTCAAGCAAAGTCCAATAGTTCTACTTGGCCAGATTGGCATTGTTATAACTTTTTGTCTCCCATCTTTGGGCTATATGAATTGCTTTTGTAAACGTATTTTCTTTATCATGAAACTGATTATTTTGAAGAAAATATGGGACTTTCTTGCTTTGCATAAAACCCTCTTAGGACCCATATTGCACGTTCCTAAAATATTGGACTTTCTTGCTTTGCATAAAACCCTCTTAGGACCCATAGTGCACGTTCCATTGATCATTTGGAGAGTTACATATATATATGATTGTTTAGCATGTAGAGAAATACAAGATATAATACTGTCGCCTCTGCAACGTCCCGAGGTGTATGATGCTATTGCTCCTGGGAAACGGCTTAAGTTTGCGAGAAACAGGGCACGAGCAGTGCTTTTTAAAGGTCCACAAGGTACTTTAACACCACTAGTTTCATGTCATAAATGGTGCATCTAGAATATCATTCCACACTTAAGTTTGTTTTGTAGGATGACATAATTACCCATAGTGCATATTTAATATCAGGTACTGGGAAGACTTATTCTGCTCGCCTAATCGCGAATGAAGCGGTATTCTATTTTCCCACGATTTATAAGTTTTTTCTGTTAGTTGTTAACTTGTTGCTTACATATATTTCCACGCTCGTAACCATACCAAGGAATAGTAGCCGCCTTTACTAGCCATACTAAGGGGTGGATAATTGTTTACCTACAAACATTACGGTTGTTGCTCGCCTTATAGTAAATTTTCTAGTTAAACCTACATTGAAAGCTCACTAATAGAAATAGTAGCAGCAAAGATTTAACCAATAAACATCTAAGTATTAATGAAGAAAGACGCAAGTTAATACCATGAATTGCCCGATATTGGCATCTTTCATGCGGTTTGCAAGTTGTTAGGATGAGACTAAAAATTTGGTTTGTTATAGGCTATTCCAGTGCTTTACGTGCCACCAGAATCTGTAATGCCAAAGTTCAATGATAAAAGTGAACAACTATTAATGGAACTCTTTTCAGTGGCAAAAGAGTTTCCGAATGGCGCCATCATTTTCCTTGATGAGGTAATTTATATTTTCTGCTCATTTATGTTGATTATGTTTATTTAAAAATGTAAAATTTTCCATGTTCTTTTGTTATTACAGGTCGATAGATATGCTGGTGTTTGTGATTCTGAAAAGTGTGGAGCTCTCAAAATTTCATCAGAGCTATCGAGCCAGGTTAAATTTTTTATTTATTTTTCCTGATATATATATAGATATATTTTGGTAGTATCATTTTTGGAGTTCTCTTGGATACCTAATAGATATGTTTTTGAACTTAGGCTGTCTCTGTTTTCGGCTGCAGATTAGAGACATTGAGCGGGTTAAGAAAGTGATGGTTATTGCTGCTACGAATAGGGAACATGATCTCAATAGGATTTTGTCAAGGTATTTATTTAGGCGCCAATTTTTCTTCATACAACAGTTAGGTTATTCGATTTTTAAACTGTGTTTTAATGATTCTTTCAGGAACTTTGATCATAGGATTTCTTTTCACCTACCTGATGAGCTGAACTGCCAGGAAATAGCAGCTCTATATGCTCCGCACTTGTTAGCAAATGAATTAGCTCAATTTGCAGTCAATGCTGAAGGGTAAGTTCAAAACTTTTGCCTCTTTTCTTTGTTTTTCTTTTCTATACCCTTGAAATATGTTTTATTTGCTTTCACTCTAAGAATGCCATTTATCAAACTTAGAATGTCTGGAGGAGAGATCAAGGAAATTTGTATGGAAACAGAGGCGGTTCAGGCAAGGAGGGTAAGCGCAAAACACTAATTTAGCAATTGATATACTTATAAAAAAAATTAACTCGTTATATTGACTGATAGATTATTGGAGGTGGAGGACCACTGTCTTGTCCGCGTCTTGAAGAATACATTGAGGAGATAAACAAAAGGCGCAACCCAGGAAGACCAGACGAAGAAACCCCCGGGGTATGAGATTTTGGTATAGTCATTTGAGTAATTTTTAAAGCAGCAATTTAGTCTTTTGACTCGAGGAGAGGACATATTATTTTTATTGCCTTGTTTACTGGCTTATTCGGGAACTTGAACAACTTTTTTGACTTCTAATACCCATGTGCAGTGGTTGCCAATATTTTTTATCTCAATTTTCTTGTGCAACCCATATTTTCAGTTGCCAAAATCTGGATTTTATTATACATTTTTTGCTCGGATTTTTTTTATACGCTTATTTTGTAAAAATTTGGATTATACGCTGCATGAACTCCTTTTAGAGATTTAACCACTCAATTATATTGATAAGCACTTGCTTGCTTGCATACTAGAAGTACCCATACTCACCTAAATACGAGAAAGTACTTAGGAACTTATGAGAAACTGTAACATTAATCAATATTGGAATTGACTGATTGTTTATTATTGAACTTATCTTTAAGGGTAAAGCACATCCACACCCCTTGAGGTTTGACAAAAGGATACTTAGAAGAAACTTACTTGTTTTTTGGACAAAGACACCCCTTGAAGGTTCAAAAATGGATAAAGACATCCCTTTACATGAGAAATTGATCAAATTATCCTTTGACAGTTTAGGAGACTTTTTTAACTTTACAATTTAATAAATTGGACCAATCTGCCCTTAGGAACAATTTATGCTTGAAAAAAAGAAAAAAAAAAAAACTTTATATTATTCACTTTTTTTTTTTGTTATTTACTATATAATTGTCCCAACTTCTTAAAAATGCAGACGTCTAAAATGATTTTTTGATCCAGTACATATATTTCAAATAAATTATATTTTATTATTATTTCTTTTCTTTTTCCTTTTTATTTTTAAATTAAGATACTTAATTCGTTCATCTAAAAAAATTAAACCAATCTCTTTTCCTTAAAAATAAAAAATATGGTACCAGTATAAGTTTATGCATCTTAAATTATATATCAAATATTATGCATTTTCCAACATTAAAGGGAAAAAAAATAATAATAAAACAAAGGGAAAAATAATAATAATAAAACAAAGGAGGGAAAAAAAAAAAAAAAAACAAAGACATGTATAAAGTTATACTAGAACCTATTTTCTTTTATGTTAGGAAATGCATAATATTTGATATATAATTTAAGATGCATAAAGTTATACTGGTACCATATTTATTATTTTTAAGGAAAAGAGATTGGTTTAATTTTTTTAGATAAAAGAATTAAGTATCTTCATTTAAAAATAAAAAAGAAAAAGAAAAGAAATAATAACAAAATATAATTTATTTGAAATATATTTACTGAATCAAAAAATCATTTTAGACGTTTACATTTTTAAGAAGTTGGGACATTTATAAAGTAAATAACAAAAAAAAAAAAAGGTGAACAATATATAGTTTTTTTTTTTTTACTTTTTTTTATGCATAAATTATTCATGAAGGTATATTGGTCTAATTTATTAAATTGTAAAGTTAAAAAAGTCTTTTAAACGGTTAAAGGGTAATTTGATCAATTTTTCTTGTAAAGGGGTGTCTTTGTCCATTTTTGAACTTTCAGGGGATGTCTTTGTCCAAAAAATCG